CTCCAATTTACCAACATTCAAAAAATAAAATTGACTTTAAAAAAATTTAATTTCCCAATTTAATTTTTTTAATGTCGATTTTACATTTTCAGTTTTAATATTTGTCCCGTTAAAGTGTATTAGTCAATGCCGCAACCTCAAGTTAATATCATCTATTTTTCCAAATGTGGACGATTTTGTCAAATTTAAATGGTGCTCTCTTGGGATAATAGTCTATTAAAAATATAAAAGTAACATACATACAAAAACAAATACAGTAAAGTTGAGACTTTTTTCTCGAATGTATTGTTTATTTGTAAAGACGGTTAAAAACAACTACTTATAGCTACTCAAAATAAAAAAATGCTTAATATATAATAAAATACAGGTATAAAATGTAAAATTAAACGTATCCTACTGTTTATTAATAATATAAATAATATAATATAAAATTAGAAAAGAGTACAACGTTTAGTAAAACAAATAGTAATCGTGTTCCAAACGTATATTTTCTTTACACTTACAGTTTTTTCAGAGAGATGATATACCTAGCCTCTTAGAGCCAAGAATGATTCCTAGAATAAATGGAATAATTTTTATTCAATACTTACGATCCGCCCTGGCTTCACATAGGTGGTTTCTGTATCTCGATACCAGCGCCACCTACCGGCTTCAATTGAATTTTTAAACCATCCGAGAATCCACGCAAATATACATAAAAAAATCATCAAAGTCGGTGTAGACGTATTCGAATTTTAGCGAGATTATAACGGACAGCAATTAATTTCTATATACTTAAGATAAATCACAATAACGCTTGTTGAAAGTCATTTTATGCTTTTACCATTGGTTTGGAAAAAAAAACAAAACAAAGATGCTTTCAGTGTAAGTCGCATTAACTATAGGTATAATAAGATTACATAATATGACATTATGCTATGGAAATAACTAAATACACTCATTAATTCGTTACATCCTTTCAAAAGTCCATTACTGAACATAGCCTCCCCCATACATTGCCTTATATGGGGACGTAGTTGCCAGGCTTGGTAGGCGAGGTATTTTTATTTCCCGTAGAGACTTACGACACCCACGGGATGGAGTAGTGGATCATCTTACACCGACATTATATGATACAGATTAAATACATAATAATTGTTAATAAATACATAATATTTAGATAAGAATTAAGTTTAGGGGCTATGAAAAAAAAACGTTTTTTTTTAACATAACTTCGAGAATTCGCAACATAATTTGGTTAAATTTGGAGGGCTTTGCATTTGAAATTAGCGGGAAGTTCCAGGGATAGCCTGCAGGGTCAACTAATTTTTTGTCTTTTGATAAGTTTTACATGAAGTACTAAAAATACAAAAAAGCGCTGCTTTATCGATGCCATTTTGACAGTTGACATTATAGTAAATATTTTAGTCGATTTTAGTATTGTGTAGTGTAGTTAATATTTTATAAGTTGATTTTTCGAAGTGTTCCTAATTATTGCCAAAGATTGTTTGCTATTGTTTTCTTAATGTATTAGTTATAGTATACAATTTTGCGTTTTTGTGTCTGTCTTCCTCCTAGTTTTGGTTTCATAGGGAAGCAAAGCTTAAACTTAAGGTATATTACCCTCACGTACCTTACTTATAATTTAGAACGGATAGAATAGAACGGAATCATTTTTATTCAGTTTAGATTACAAGACAACTTATTAAATGTTAATTTTTTTTACAAAGAAAAAACCTTTGTACTGGAAAGATCCAGCAAGAACCCAGCGGGACAATATATACTTTGGTTATATTATATAATATCTCATTGAATGCGCGTCGTTGAAATCAAAGCGCACGTGCCTCGAATAAGCATTGGTTCAGACTTCTTTCTACCCCTAACTTATTACGCATTTACATTCTACAGGAAATGTTCCTGATTCCTTCATATAATATTACTATTATATTATGCACCCAGATAATGAATATTTATAATATTTGTATCCACCTAATAGAGTTGACGACAAATGAAAACGGTGTTAAATTCGCAAAATTCGCCTGTGGGGTTGGCGCTAAATGCTTCCCACACCTTAGAACCAAATGGCGTCAATGAAAAAACGTTCCAATCTTGTAAACTAGACTCGATTCAACTGTTCTTGGATGGTAGAGCTCTAGAAAACGCCGTGTGGATTTGTTAACGTTATTTGCGGTGGTGGATGCGCGGAGTTGTCGCCGCGCACCGGTGCTAGATCGAAGGCGGTGATCGCAATACGCATGCGTCGGCTGGCTCCTCCACCGCCGCTGCCTCCAGTCCGCAGTCGCATCGCGCTCCCCACCGCGACGCCATGCCGGCGAAACCTACGACCTGACTTGAGCGAGCAGCTCTAAAACCTTCGAATAACAAACACTGTGAAAGCGGTGGACAGCACCGGAAACACCGGGGTAAGTCCGTAGCGGCCATCATTTTACATTCGATCTCAGTGACGAATGCATTCCCAAGGTTAACCCATGCTTCTCCCGTATCTCGAAACGTCCTGACTGCTAGAGGGCGCTAGTGTTTACGGTGAGTCATTTCTGCGGCGACACGTTTTCATGGCCGCCTCTTCGATCTCGTGGATTTTCTGCGAATGGAAGATGGTTGCAGTTGATGTTACGTAATTAAGTGAGGAGTGCACCGGCCGTGGCGGCCGCCCGCTACTTTCGACTCAGTTGTCTGTGTTCAGCCGACCGTTAGCAATTGTGGCACGCAAGGATCGTTTTCAGGAATACATTCACCATTTTGTACGCGAACCTCGTACTGTAAGGAACTGTGGATCAGTCGTCTGTGCTGTTATGCGTCTGAAATTCGTTTCTGTGCTTAATATCACCGCATGGATATTGTGTGAATATTGGTATTGTGAAAGTGGCGTTTATATTTCGAAATAATTGATTGCCTATAATTTTCACGTTGCACAATATTAGTGCCTTGTACAAATTTAGTGTTTCTTGTCCTAAAAACAGTGCCGCGACCATTACAAAAATATTGTAAGTAATTCGTTTAAAGAAACCCAATTGCTCAATATAAGCAAACGACTATCAAGGATTGCACATCGGATCATTTATTAGTAATCCCAGGCCGAATGGATTCATAATCTGTGTCAGGTGGCCTTTGTTCGCGTTCTTATGAAAACAGCTGACGAACGTGTATTCGCCTTAGTTGTGCAGCGAACTGAAACTGCCGAAATAACGGTAGCCCGGACCGCTATTTCAGCCTCCAAACCTAATAAACTGCGTAGTGCGTTATTATGATCAAACCAGATTATTTATCATCTCTCTCACTGGACAACAATGTTGTCCTATATTGTGCATCGCCATTTTCGTATGACTCATTGATTGTTCTTGTTCTGAATATCTTAGAGAAGACCACGTTTATAATCAATCAATATTCTAGTTACGCAACTGTCAATGAAAGGCTTAAAGTTAAGAATACATCACATACAACATTTAGTCCCGTTTTTTAATAAAACGATTAAAAATTTCTTTTTTTTTGTCTTCATATTCAACAGTAAACATAAAGATATTCATTAAAGTACCTTTAGGCAAACGATTTAAAAAGCTAGGCTTCTCTAAAAATTAACTTATTCTGTTTAAAGTACCTAACATTTTCTTTAATTTTAAAATCATCCTTAATTAATTTTATCTTAACATCTTGACAATTAATTGGAAGGTCTTAGCTTTCACAATTACATTCGCCGTCTCGCTGTACTTAATAAAGAAAACCAATTATTGTTCTTGCTTTAGCCTTTGATATTAAGTAATTTTGAATTTAAAGTACCCATTATATTTGTCGGTATTATATATACTTACTTAAAATGGTACAAAATCGTATTCGTTCCGTACGGTATTCTTATTAATTCGACTTAGTCGACATACTCTAGATAGTTAGATTATGTAATTATTATTGTATTAGAAAGAAATTATTTAATTTAAAAGAACAAGTTTTTGTTGTTTACTATTAATATTGTAGACAACAGAATAAATAGCCCATTGTTGTAAATAGGCACTTCTAGATTTTACTCTCATGTTCAAATAATGTTTTATAATTGTACTTTACTTTTGTCTGTTTCTAGTATGTCCGTCCATAACTTTTTTTATCTTTAAAATTGATGGACAGTTTACAAGATGCTTAGCACAAATACCCTCCGTATTTGTCGTAATTGAAATTCTTAGCAGATGCATTCCAGCATGCTATATCAGACCTATGTTCCTATCACTGGTCTGGGCATTTAGGTTCTGGTTATTTGGTCTGTAACGAGATAGCTATCTGTCGGAGATCTCAAAATACGAGTAGGTAACTTCAGGCGTTTCCCTTAGCCGCCCACACGCACAGAACATGATGATCTTATAGAGACTACCACATGGCGTTAAGAATTTAAATAAGAGTACTGTAATACATACAAGTGTCGCGTGTATAATTACAGGCTGGAAGGTATTCCATCTAAGTCCACAGAGACAACGCATCTGTAATCGTCTGTTTGAAGTTCTCGCATACCTTACGGCACAGTAAACTGTGCTAATGGACTGCAACAATCACTTACCGTAAAATAGACTGTTAGTTCAGTTGTCACTTCAATATTATAAACATGTGTTCCATAATACGTGGTGTACGTGGTAAAGTCATGCTGCAGCCATATTTGTAGTATAGTTGTAGCACGAATGGGTCGGCTCGACTGGAGAAGGACCACGCTCTTATAGAATAACTAAATAATTATTAATGCTGCTGTGTTTCGTATTGCGAGTATAGAAGAATCGTAGACCCTTTTTACTGGAAAAGAGGCATTCCATCTTAGTCCTCAAGGGTGACAACGCATCTGCATTTTGATTCGTAATCGAGGATAGATGTATATGTCTATGGGCTACAGCAAAGGACTGTGTGCTCGTTTGTCACCCTATCCTATAAAAAAACCTGTAATAAAGACTTATTTTATGTTTGGTTACAGGTGTAAGACGGGTAAAGAACCGATGTGCTAGTGGCGACGGTAGCAAACAGTCACAGCCACCATGTCGTCGGTGAAGGTGGCGGTCAGGGTCCGCCCCTTCAACTCGCGAGAGATCTCCAAAGAATGCAAATGCATCATCGAGATGACAGGCAACACCACAGGTCAGTAACGAAAGTTGTTATGAACATTTTTTTTAAATTTGTAAGTTAAGATAACCCCAGTAGAATAACTTGCTAGCTTTTTAAAAATAAAAAAACAAGATCTCCGCTGTTAATTTTAACCAATTATATGTTTATAAAAATAATAACTATACTTTTATATAACCGTAAATTATAAACAAAAAAAAAAACACTTTTCTTCGTCGTATTGCTTTTTTAAGTGATTTTAAAAAGGAGGTTCTTATTAATTTCATTCAGTAATAACTCCGATGAATTTACACCGGTTTCGAAATTGTTTGGTTCGAAGAACGTAGGTACGTGGTGGTGGAATCCTATACAAATCTTAAGTATCTGTTGATTCCCTTCGAAAATACGCTATAATTTCTCTATGACATATTTGACACGTTGTGCCATGCACGCGTGCCCGTTATTATTTTCTTTTATTTTTATAATTAGTTTTTATATCTTATAATATATTAAAGTTTGCTATGTTTGTCACTCTTTGCGTACGGACTTTGTAATTCATGGAAATCTACTAAAACATTTAAATATGTTTTACTGAACCCCGGAATTCTGTTCACGAAAGAATTACGGTATTATCACAGGATATTATAAAGTGCGAAAATAGTATGTCAGTGGTTTATTTAGTATACCTAATTTCTATAGAAGAAAATAAATTAATTATTGCCATATGTTATCATCAAAATGATATTTAAATTTGCCTAATGGAGTTTCATGGCTGTTATTTATTTGATATTTATTACGTAGACCGTAATAAATTTTAAATTCTCTCCGAGGCCTGCAAAATAGCTGCGGCATCTTTCGCAGGAACCTCTTGACTTGCCCCTCGATAATGAAGAGTGACGTTTACTGCGCAGTAAAAGCTAAACCTTTTTTGAAGGGAAAAACAAATGGTGCAGTAATTCGATTCGCTCGATGGTTCATTCGCATGTCGTTTGATTGAACCGATTCCAAGAATATTTATTATTAGCAACTAGCCATTTGAATTTGCATCATAGAATATATGGATATGACAGGTTTTGTTTTCTCTGTACTAGTATGTTCTATTTGTTACTTATTTTAAGCTGTTGCATGACTATAATCCCACATGTTGGTTGACCCTAGATACTAAATCGCATTGTCTTAGTGTTAAGCTTATTCAATCTTGTATTGAAGACGCCCAGATTGCACTCGGACGGAAAAACACACGCGTTTTAAACATTTAATTTAGAAAAAAAAAAATAAAAATAAATAAAAAAAAAAGGTGAATAATTAAAATAAATAATTTAAGAAAAAAAAAAAATTTAAAAATAAAAAAAAAAAAAAAAATTCTTTTAAAAAAAAAAAAAAAAACCCTTTTAAAAAAAAAAAAAAAAAATTTTTAAAAAAATTAAAAAAAAAAAAAAAAAGATAATTTTTTTTTTTTTAAATACCATAAAAAAAAAAAAAAAAACGGGGGGGCAAAAAAAAAAAAAAAAAAAAAAAAAAAAAAAAAAAAGGGGGGGGTGGGGGGAGGAAAAAAAAAAAAACACCCCAAATAAAAAAAAAATTAACATACAAAAGGTATTCGACGTTTGCCTGTGACAGTGGCGTAATATCGTAGCGGCGGAGAATCTACCACACAATTTTGTCGCGTATCGTGAGCTCGTGAGGCGACTATTTGAATGCTAGAACAATCTTATGACTTTTGATATTGGATAGTGATATAACCAGCTTACGCCAGACGTTCAATACAAAGACCGGCGACGGATAGTAGCATCAACGGTTCTATATGCCTGGTACTGGTACTACGTACATCAACCCGCCTGCCACGCGGGACGATGGAAAATCCTCCTTGCAAGAAGGAGAGGTATTATTTAAGTTTATACGTGGTAGAGGCATGCTGCGGCTATGTTATGGTTGTAGCACTGATGGCTGGGCTCGACCGGGGAAGGACCACGCTCTCACAGATTACCAGCGTAAAACAGCAGCTTAATACGGCTGTGTTTCATATAGTGACTGTAGAGATCTGGAACCCCTTTTTACTGAAAAAGAGGCGTTCCATCTTAGTCCTCAGGGGTAACAACGCACCTGCATTTTGATTTTTAATCGAGGATAAATGTAGATGTCTATGGGCGACAGCATCCACTTGCCATCAGGTGGACTGTGTGCTCGTTTGTCGCCCTTATTATGCAAAAAAAGAGGCCTATGTCCAGTAGTGGACTTTTACCGGCTGGTAAAGAAGAAAGAAAGAAAGAAGATATCCAATTAGTTGTTTTTTATATCAGTTCACAATTCTTACAAGTGATATACAAATAGTATTTTTTACAAAATTTTAAAATTGCTAATGTATTATTATAAATGCTTATCTTGAAGTTTGTATAGAATTTTAAAATACTTAGAACTCCCCAACAGTAATAAGAAAGGTGAAACTCGATTGATTACGGTTATTAGTTTTGCTTCAGTTTTCTAAGTGCTCGTATATATTGCTGTACGTTAAATAACCTTGAACGTTCAGGGTGGTCTTGATAAACATTTAATTTGGAGGTCGTTTAGAGGTCGTGAGGTACAATGGAATGAGGGTGTGTCTCATCCTAATATATATTTAGCTCGTTTGAGACTATTTGTCTGTGTTGAACGTTCTCGAAGTATTCAATTACCGATGATTTATTTGTTTTAAACTGGTAAATAAATCTTAACAGCTTAAAAACAACATAATATAAGAATTTCGCTTCAATTTATATAACCTTAATTAATTACGTAGACTAATTCCTTGTTTCCTCTCTAAGTTCTCATTGATCCGTTTACTCCTCTTCGTATATAGACCATGAAACTATCAACCTGGTTACCTCACCGATCAAAACGATAAATACTTCAACGATGAACGTGTTTGCCAAGGATCGACATCGAGTATGTGAAAACCATCTGCGTAACCAATGTCTGAATGAAAAATGAATCGAATTGGATTTTTGAAATAAGCAATTTAAAGAAACGTACGGGCTGGAAGGCAGTTTAAAAATAACTTTTTACTTATCTATTGATATCGCTCTATACCTGGACTATGGGACCAACTAGTCAACTAAAAGAGTGCACAACTGATAATACCTATGAAAATATTGACGAAATCGTCATCACGTATTTCCCTCTTTCATCGTACAAAACTGAACCGATTTAAATTCTTTTTCAAGAACAATATACGAAGGATTGTGGCTATGTTTGTAGGTTTTATCTTTTTTTTTTCGTTTTAGTTTCGCTTTCTTTATCTTTTATTTTCGTTGAATTAATTATTTGTTGAATGTCTAATTACGGTGGTTTAACTGGACAGTTTGTGTCATTTTGGAAGGTAATGTAAGGTAAAAACAAAACACGCGACATGACAGTGTTAAATATGTTTTTTTATAAAATTGCAAGTGACAAATGATGGTATGTGACTAGGGTTGCCAGGTCTTAAAACCGAAAAGCCGGACAGACCAGCGAGCTTAGCCGGACATTTTGGTAAAAAGGCCGGACACCCTTAACTTTTTAGTCATAGTGTATAACATGACAATTCTTTTTTAAGTAAAAAAATGCTTTATTTCTATTACCATAAAATCTTCTTAAATTCTAAAGAAATAACAATAGAATTAAATAAATCAGTCTTTTTAATTATTAATCGTTTAATATTCATTACAATATTATTTTTATTTAATTGCAATAATAAGTACATGAAAAATGCAAAAAAAAAACAAATTTAAAAAGCCTAACAAAAGCCGGACAGGCCGGACACAGTTTAATTCGGCCGGACACGCTACCAAAAGCCTGACTGTGTCCGGCTTTATCCGGACGCCTGGCAACGCTATATGTGACTACTAAAGTCCGTGGCCACCTGCAGCCAACTTTAACTCTATTTGGCAGCAGAAATAGATAAGGAGACGGTTCCAGTCCAGAAGGATTCCCAGGCAGGTCAGGAGTTCTACCATCTAGAACATATATTATATAGATTCTATAATCGATATGTATGTACTACGCACTTGATTTCGCATTGAGAACACTGTGTTCAACTGAACTGTACTGCAATCCGTACACCTGTTATTGTGGCTTCGATAATTATGCAGTGCGGAGCGGCGCTAATAATATGAAAAGTAAATTAGCACATATGGAAAATAAACAAAAATTAAAAAAAATGTACTCGATTAACAATACAATCTATATAAACAAACATACTGATCATTCTATTTACGCATAATCTATGGAGCACTGATATTTTAATTTTTTTTACATTAACATGTTATGACAAAAGAACGCGAGTAACCCGGGTTCGATCCCCACCGGCACCAATGAAATTGTTAATTGCAATTTTAAGTGCTGATTTATCACGTGCTCGGCGGTGAAGGAAAACATCGTGAGGAAACCTGCATGTCTGAGGAATAAGATAAAAAATATTTCTAAGATATGTGAAGTTCGCCAACACGCATTGAGGCAGCGCGGCGGACACTTCCCCGCCCTAAAACCCTCTCAGAAATGAGAGGAGGCCTGTGCTCGGCATTGGGACGTATATGGGCTGTAACTTTACTTTTTTAACATATTATGAAAACGATCTATTAATAAATACTACTAATTGGGTGCGTATTATTTTAATTTCGATATTTTAATTAATTTATTTATTTAGTTCAACCTTTTTCTTTTAATTTTTTTAGCAACAAGTTTATTTAAAATTAGCCATAGGCTTCTATTCCGTTCACCTGTTACACACTATTTTTTTCAAGACGGTAAATAAATCACCCAGTATATTAAAATTTCATAGTTTGTTGATATTTATAAAGTAGTATAATAAAATTTATTTTAAATAATCCGTAAAATTGCTTTACTATACCCAACCCTATATTCAAAATGTTGTGTGTATAAATTACTAGCTGCTGCCCGCGACTTCGTACGCGGATGATGTTGCTTATGCCAGCGACAACAGGGTCGTCAAAATCGAAGATCTGAAACGTCTGATGTCGAATTCTAAGAGCCCGGGGACGGGAAAACAACGTGATGCGCGA